CCACCCTTCCGCTCCTGACTCTGCTCTTGGGGGGGAGGACCACAATTACGATCGTGGACCACAGTCTCTCTGGCCAAGCGCTTCAGCTATTGCTCCAGAAGGGGGGTTTGCCTGGCCAAGTGGACATTCACAGGCTTCAGCTATTACTCCAGAAGGGGGGTTTGCCATGAATTTGGCTCCTGACTCTGGCACCTGCGGCACAGACACTGGGGCAATGGGACATTGGGGTAAATCGGCTACACAGGCCACTTCAGCTTCTGGTCTTGGGCTCGAGGGACAGTGCTCCCAAGAGGGGTCCATTGTGGACTTGGGGAATTCCACCCCACCACTGGATTTGGGGAATTCCACCCCACCAAGGAACTTTGGCTTGGATTTAGCAGATCCAACCAGTCAGCAGCTGGGTGGGTCACCTGGGTCCTTGGGGAAACAAAGTCCTGGTCTGCCTAGCCTGGCAGTCGAGCTGGCAGGCCAGGCACACACACCGGCCATAAGAAGGTCACAGCAGGCCAAGGGTCCACCCAAACATCTTAAGGACTATGTGAGGTTTCTGTCAAGCCTGAGGGAATCTTGCTAGTTCTTTAAAATGCAAAACAAACACTCAAATGAAGGGGTGCTATATTTCAGTGTATTAAACATTTTGCTGTACTCTTGCACATATAAAATGCAAGATTGGGTCTGCCTGTGTGCAGGCATAATGTGTTTAATAATAACAAATGCCAATAGAACACATGTATATGTTTGCTGCTATAACGGTAAGGGTTACTTATTGTTTTATCTAGGGGGGAGGGGTGTTATGTCCTGAGCCTGCTGAATTGCTCAGCAGGCTCAGGAAGGCTGCAGAGAGTCCCGGTCAGACCATGTGGTTGCCTGGGACCAGACAGGCTGTCGCCAGCCTTGCGTGCATACGCAAGGCGCGAAACCAGCCTTGCATTGATTGGTTGATGCTGTCTTTGCAAGGAGACTATAAAAGGCCTGCGTGCCATTTTGTTTACTGTTCTGTTCTGTTGCTGACTTGCAATAAAGAAGACTTGCTTTTGTGTTACTCGCTTCGTCTAAATGCCTTGGACTCGCGAACAGAACAAAGACATTTCCTGTTTGAGGTCCAATAATCTGCTGATCATCCCAGAACAAACAAAAATGTAATCTGGGACTGATTCATATATCATACCAATGTTGAATGATAAGAGTATTCTATATCTCTCTGAATAGTATATCAAGTACAATGTTCTCAAAAATTTAAGTTGACATATTGGCTATGGATCAAATGTGCTACAATATTAGGTAAGTCCCCACTAACCACCTGTTTAATAGTAATTGTCCTCTTGCAATTTGTTCTTGTTTTCAAATTAGAAAATACAAGTTTTCCGCTACTTTAATGTGTTTAAAAAGATTTGGCACTTGCAACAGATAGCAAACTCAAAGGTTGATGTTTGCCATTTGGGAATGTGTTGACCTACAAGTTCTACGTAATAATGTATGCTAAACTATGTAAGGCTATAAGAATCCACTTCCATAGTATTGCCAGAAAAACTACATGGACCTGTCAAGATCAACTTGAGGAAGATGTTCGCTCTTTTCATTCAAAGTATTGTTAATATGTAAATTTGTCCTTTAATTCCTTAACTAATGAAACTATTTGAATCTGAAATGGTTCTTTTCAAGAGCTGATCCTTCTCTGTGTATATACATATATACATATCTTATATACGTATATATATAAGATGTATATACATATATATATATCTATGCTATACGTATATACATATCTATGTGTATATACGTATATACATATCTATGCTACATTTGGATATTTGTTTATGTGTGCCGAGAAAACTAGACTTGCATAGCAGGAGGAAAAAGTGATAAATGAGCATTTGCACTTTCATGATATTATTCTTTGTAGTATATTGTCATTTATTGAATAATTTCATTGTAATCTATAATAGGAATCTCCAACCTTGGCAGCTTTACAACTTGTGGAGTTGAAGTCCACAAGTCGTAAAATTGCCAAGGTTGGAGACCCCTGATCTATAAGATGAAGAGAGTAGAACAAAGTTCTAATTATTTAACTGGATGCATGACAATGACAAAATGGAATTGTAGGTTTTTTTTAATGTCTTTCCCACCCCCAAATATAATGTTCAGATTCTTTTCAAATTATCTGCATTAATTTTACCAATCAATATTGAAAAAATATTCTTTTTGGGCACCAATCAACAGTTGAATAAATCAACCCTCTCTTTTAACAAAGAAAAAATAAATCAAAGGAAAATGTGGAGTAGTGGTGGTTGTTCTTCTATCCTTTACTTTTATGTTTATTTAAACTGTTCAGATTAGATAGTTTACTTCACACACACACACACACACACACACACACACACATAGCTTTTTTTTAGTAATAACAAGTCAGGCTTTGGGGTCAATGTCTTCTCTAAAAATAGATAATTAAAAAAATCAGATCAGTAATATTAATTTTAATCTTCTCTGACTACTCTGTGTTAGAATTCTGCTGAATACGTATGTCAAGGCAAATCATTAACATTAAAAAAAAATCCAAGTTCCCTAATAAGATAATGTTGTTGTGATAGAAGTTTAAAATTATAGCATACATATTCCAATGTTAGTACCTCTAAATAAACATTTCACAGTTTATCTTTCTGTCACATTATGTGACAAGTATATAATATCAAATTCAAGAGAAGCCTCCTATAGATAATTGCTTGTTTTTCTCTAGGGTTGTTTTTTT